AGTCACAACCTGATTGGGCAGCTTTTATGACGTATATTTTGCAAACTGTATGCTGGGCTAAATGCACTTGTTGTTTGTGAGTACATATGATGGTGTTTTTACCAGCTGATAACTCACAAAGTGCTTATAAAATGTGTAAAGGAGTCAAAACAGCACACCGAGTCTGCGGTTCCGGCACCTGTACCGACAACCGAACTGTAATGGGCAACAGGACGAGTTCATATTACTAGTTCATATATCAATCAAACCGCACCAGAGTTCATTTGGAAGCTTGAAAATGTGGGTCTCGGTCCACTTGTTTGGTTACTCACAGATGAACCGTACAAACAGAGCAATTGCACCAAAGTTTGTTTGCCCCATTCAATCAAAAAAAAAAAGCCTGAATGAGAAAAGCCTTCGAAAGTGATGTACAGCATGTGTTCCTCAAGTGAGAGTAGCAGCTGAGTAGAATTTCCCAACATAAAAGTGATATGTTCAACAGTGTAGAGTTCAAACCAGCACAGCCCATTGGAAAGATCTGGGTCATCAGCATTTTGTACTATCAGCAAAAGGAGCATCTCTGGTTACAGGCGACTCTAAACACGCAAACAAAAAGTCTGCCTACACTCCAGCATTTTTACTGTGAATGAATGCCTTATAATAACTGAAACACACACACACACACACACACACACACACACACACACATTCACACACACGTCCAACAATGCCAGCCCTCCCTCTTGTTCTTTCTGGTGTTGGTACTCCACACAGGGCTTTTTGTGTTAAAGTGTGAACGCTAAACAAGAGCTGGGAAGCTTAATTGTCTTTCTGTGGGAGTTAGCGGCATCCACAACAACCAGTGTCCCCAATCACCTTATGACATCACACAATCATAAATACGTCTCCAATCACAGCCTGCCATACAAAGTTCATCTATTGAGGTCAAGCACCTGTATCATTCATAGATCAGTTTAACTACGGGTTCCACCTGAAGATTCTTGTAGAAGTTGGGTCCAAAAGTCAAAAGTAGAGATCACTAGTAAAAATGCTTCTTTTTTTTCTTTTTTCATACGATTGTTATTTCTAATTTAATGTTTATTACATTAGAGAATACTAAGATTTAATAAACTTAATTTAATAATTGTAATAATGTATTAAATACATTTAAGTAAATAACCAAATAAACACCACAAGTTTGCCTTTTGTTCAGCATGGTCAATTTTATTAGTGACCTAAAATAGACCAGAATCGAAAATATTTCATATCCATTTTAGATTTAAAATTTCTTGAAAATCCTAAAATAGCTTTTTTTTTATTATTAGATTTTAAATCTTGGGTTTTTAATGCGTTTCAAACTTGTTGACCGCCACTGTAGTTCTGTATTGTCACTATAAGGTTTATTTTGTTCTTCCTTCATCACATCCAGTTCGTTTTATAACCACGGCAAGACAAGAAGCCTTTTAGTGGCGGCTGGCAAAAATACAAGAGTACATCAAGAGCACCTCAGGCTTGGCGTTTCAAGTGGCAAATTCATTTTAAATGCATTTTTCATATTAATACCAAATGAGGCTTCGAACAAAGATGTTCTGATGTTCCATTCCACCAATGAATAGAGCGGGGCAACTCAACACCATGCTAATCAATTTTCTCAACTTCCAAAATCGAGGGCAGCATATTAAATTATGCATGCAATAGGTTTGTGGCCTTCTTTGTGAAAAGAAATTTGAGCCAAAAAAAGATTAGTGCTCAAAAGCAAACAATGGCTTCTGCTTGACAGCTAGGCTTTGTCAGACTTTACTAACAACTTCTGGAGAACACTGAAGATCTTGATCAGGAGTGGAAAATCTCACCCCTGCCTGATCATAGAGCTGCAATATCCCAGAAAATCAGATGATATCAGACTACTGATTTCTGTAACAACATGTTTGTAATTATGTAACTGAATCAGTTTAAAACTCCTCTTCTAGAAACATGCACTGTTACTTTGTTTCACTTTGTTTCCGAATTCAGTCATTTTGAAAATGACATTCTGAAGTGATCTATGAGGGAGGGAATCCAAACTAACAAACACTAGCTATTTCATCATTTGCATATTGAAATAGATAATAAAATACTTTTTTGACGACTTGAACAAGTCACACTGAACACTAAAAACTTTAAAACCTCAAAATATTGTCTTAAAGATCATTTGAACGTCCAGCCGTTTCACGACAGCACAGTCCACGCTCAAATCTGAGCTCAATCTATGAGAGATGACGGAAGAACCTACCGAAGAAAGGAGGAAGGTGAGACACCGCCTCGAGAAACGGCCGGGTTTCCACTTGTTTGTCGGCTGGAAGTTGCCGGAACTGGTGCTCCATTAGAAGAGCCATGATTGCCTAAAGTGGGCGAAAGTGACTTTTTTGCCTACAACATAAGACGAGGACAACACAGCAGCAATGAAGACAGAACCCGGAACTCAGGCCGGACAGACAGACAGACAGACAGACAGACAGACAGCGTTTACTATACAGTATTTAGATTCCCTTCTCCTTCTAGCGGAGCCGCCCCTTGCTCCGCCCCCTTATGTAAATATATGCAGACTCATGAGGAGGAGCCAATCATATCGCACGGGGCGGGGCCAAACCTTATAATATATTATTTCCTGTGCCTACACTTCACAAACAATGTAGTTAAAATGTTACTGCACAATAAATAGCCAAATTAAATAATTTCTCTGCTACAGAAAAAAAACGTCAATAAACCATATAAACTTAAATCTGCAATTTTTTCATTATGCTGAAAGTATTTTTACCTCCACCATTAAATCAGATTAATCAGATGAAATATTAAAGTTAAATAAATTAAGTTATTAAATTAAATAATTATAATATTATAATTATATAAATTATAATTCAATAATTAAGGGAATTTAAACTACTTTGTCCAGTACACTGAGGAGGATATAGGTCTCTGCGTATTACTCTGTTATTACCAGTGGACAAATTGTAAAAAAAAAAAGATTAAGGGGGACGGTGGGGGATCTTGTGATTACAAATGATTACAAAATCTGTCTAATTAAAAAAAAAAAAAAGTATTTTACAAAAAAAAAAAGGCACAATATGTAATTTTCGCCGCTATAGGGCGCGTATTCAAAATAAACAAAGAGGCAAAGGCCAAAGACGCCGTGAGTGAGTGTGGAATCATGGGAGTCTTCTAGTGGTTTTTGGATATTTTAATTAAAAAAAATCTTACATATTGTGCCTTTAAATGAACTTTGCTTTATGAGCTGTTTTACTTGTGTCAAAAGTTTTGTTTTTTTAATATTTTTTATATAATATATAAACTTAAATCTGCTATTTTTTTCTTCATCTGATTTTATGCTGAAAGTATTTTTATTACTCCCACCATTAAAACAGATAAAATATAAGTTAAAAAATAATTAAGGGAATCTAAAACTAATGTGTCCAGTACACTGATCATATTATCAGGTTATAGGCCTCTGCTTATGGCTTTATTATCACATGAAACACATCCCCCGAGTTGGATTTTTCCAGGCTTATGGACCCTTTTTACATTTCTGTGTTTCTCAGAAGCAGAAGTCGTCAAAGTTGGATAAACTTCTAAAGCGGTGAAAAGGAGATTACATCAAATCTATATTTTTTTGTGTTCCCATTTCCTCAAATAGCAAAAGAAAAACTCCACTAAGTGTTTTCACAAATTTCAAAAAGAGGAAAAAATAGTGAGAGATTGATAATGGCCGTCAGAAGAGAGAACTCAGTCAATAAATGGGAAAACAAAGTAACTGGCGTTACTTATTTGAAAAAGTAACTCAGATATTTTTTGTAAATTAAAAAAGTAATGCGTTACTTTACTAGTTACTTGAAAAAAGTAATCTGATTACGTAACTCGCGTTACTTGTAATGCATTACCCCCAACACTGATTATATGTACACTAACGTTACCAGTCAAACGTTTTTGGAAAGTACGATTTTTAATGTTTTTAAAAGTATTCTCTTCTGCTCACCAAGCCTGCATTTATTTGATCCAAAATACAGCAAATGCAGTAATATTGTGAAATATTTGTAAAAGAACCGTTTTCTATTTGAATATATTTTAAAATGTCATTTATTCCTGTGATCAAATCTAGATTTTCAGCATCATTACTCCAGTCCTCAGTGTCACATGATCCTTCAGAAATCCTTCTAATATGCTGATTTGCTGTTTAAGAAACATTATTATTATTATCATCAATATTTAAAACAGTTGAGTAAATTTTTTCAGTATTCTTTGATGAATAGAAAGATCCAAAGATCAGCATTTATCTGAAAAAAAAAACAAAAAAACTTTTGTAACATTTAAACACTATACCATTCAAAAGCTTGGAGTCAGTATAATTGGGGGGGGGGATTATACAAATTAATACTTTTATTTAGCAAGGATGCTTTAAATTGATCAAAAGTGATGATAAAGACATTTATAATGTTACAAAAGATTTGTATTTCAGATAAATGCTGTTCTTCTGACATTTCTATTCATCAAAGAAACCTGAAAAAATTCTACTCCGCTGTTTTCAGCATAATAATAATAATAATAATAAATATTTTTTGAGCAGCAAATCTGAATATTAGAATCATTTCTGAAGGATCACGTGACTGGAGTAATGATGCTAAAAATTCAGCTTTGAAATCACAGGAATAACATTTTCAAATATATTCAAAATGAAAAGAGTTATTTTAAATAAAAATATTTCAAAGTTTGACTGTTTTTGCTGTATTTTGGATCAAATAAATGCAGGCTTGGTGAGCAGAAGAGACTTCTTTAAAAAAAAATTTTTTTTTTTAAATCTTATTGTTCATAAAAACCTTTGACCGATAGTGTATAATTATGTACATATACATATATAATTTTACTCATATCTCATATATAGATTTATATAGAATTATATATTATCTATATAGCCATTATGTAGCTTCACCAGCTAATTACTCTTCAACAGTGATACTATAGAGCTGAGTTTAAAGACAAAATTCTAAAGATGGCTGTGTTTCTCAGACGCATACGTTCTATGTGAACTGGCTTTTGCATCCAAGGTGATGCTGAAGACAATATATCTATAACAAAGTTACAGACTTTGTTTCATGGCGTTTTAGTATGTCAGCATTTCAGCGGGAGCAAATGAAGGAGGAGAAGCAGCGGAAACTGCAGGAACGCAGGGAGCATCTGAGGATAATGCTCCAGGAAGAGAGAGACCAGTTGGAGGCCGAGCTCAGAAATGTTTGTCCAGACAGAGCCACACTGACCAGACAGGTGGTGGAAAAAACAGATGCTCTCCGGTCCACCTGAGAAGAGAGGAGGAACAATGTACAGTATGAACTCCTGTCTTAAAATTATGTTATGGTACACAGTTAAAAGTTTCTGATTGATTTGTTGTTGTTTTTTAGCTTGCACAGGAGCTGCTGAGGGATCACTGGAAGCAGAACAACCCAGAACTGCGGAAGGTCAGTCATATATCAGTAAAAGAACCTCAAGCAGAAAACTTAACATGTAAGTTAGTTATGAGTATTATTAAGAGGCCGTATGTAAGTTTGAGATCAGCAAGATTTTTTTAAAGGGGTCATATGATGCTATTTTAAAGATCATTATTTTGTGTATTTGGTGTAACAGAATATGTTGACATGCTTTAATGTTCAAAAAACACATTATTTTTCAAATACTGTACATTATTGTAGGTCCTCTATGCCCCGCCTCTCTCAAACACGTCATTTTCAACAAAGTCCCCTCCTTTGTCAAGCGCAGTCTGCTCTGATTGCCATTAAGACATATGCATTACACTGACTGGTTCACCAGTTGTATGTATCATATTTTATGTTCACCTGCGAATATTAGCTTGAATACAAACAGCTTTCCTGCTGTTAACAGGACGTAGTATTTAACTAATCACCTATCTGAACAATCGGACCAGTGCTGCTTCCTCAATAAAGTTTATCATTCTCATGTGTTTTAAGCCTTGTCAGTTTAAATATTAAAGTGTTTTAAGCCATTCAAGCATGAGACAGCACGAAATAGATTTCAATGCGGTATTTACACGCTGTGATAGACCTTTTCTGAAAGAGATTTAAATGCGGTACTCAGGTGTTGTGATAGATCATTTCTGTCCATGCCGGCGGCGCCGCACACACACAAAAAGCCACAGCTGGGCTCGGACAGCAAGTGAGTTGGCTACCAAATTGAGCTTTCTTTCACACCTTCATCAGCAAATGCACACGAAAGCACGTCGGAATGACAGTGTTGAGGAGTATCCACGTAAACGAGTATTGTTTCCGATCCGCACTTTACCCCAAACCAGCAGGTTCACGACTTCTTCAACCCCTAATACTGTTCGGTCCCATTGCCGTATTGGCTCAAATGCATAGGCAATTACACTTCTTATGGACACAACAGTGCTTTAAAGTTAGTCTTCCTCCATTTCAAAACAAGCGTGTGTTCAAAATGTAAAGAAATGCTTATATTACTTCACTGGCCAACGGAGCGAACCAACCCCTGCTCCAAAAGCTATAACAAAACAACCTTTTTTCTTTAAAATGGTTACATGAATCATGTTTGTTATATATTTTTTTATTAAAATGGAAATTATTTTCCTAAATAATGTAAACTTGACTGACTGCTTCATTTCCACTTTAAAGGAATTAAATACTTTGAATCAGCAAGGATGCAGCAAAGAGATAGTAAAGACATTCATAATATTACAAAAGATCTCTTTTTTTATTACGGTTTTCATAAAAATATTAAGCACACAACTGTTCAGCATTGATAATAATAAGAAATGTTTCTTGAACTCCCTTTCTGAAGGATCACGTGACACTGAAGACTGGAGAAAATGCAGCTGTTCCATCACAACAAAAAATTCCATTTTAAAACAAAAATATTTTAATAATTTGAAATAGAAAAGTTATTTTTTAACCATTTTCAGAATATTGCTGTTTTTATACTATTAATTGAATCAATTAAATGCAGCCTAGATGAGCTTAAGAGACTCTTTTCAAAACCATTCAAAAATGTACAGTCCCCAAACATTTGAATTTGGAAAGAAAGCAAAAAAAAGAGCTTCACATTTCTGCTTTTAAAACCCTCAAACTGCATATTTGTCCTGTTTACCGCAACTGAAAGTGCCTTACTGTTAACACAGATTTTTCCGTTTGAGATGAGTCAGAATTTCTATGGTAATCGACTTAATGCCGTCAATAGTGCTGGAACATTCACCAAGATTTTTTTTTTTTAATCAAGAACCAGACATGACTGTAAGTTAATAGGGCATGTGATGTTTCTTCCATGACTGATCTGTTACTCTGAGCTCGGGATTTAGTTCCGAACACACGCAAGCACTTCTGGAGCGTTGTTTAATCCGACATCTCAGTGTCTCAAATGTTTGTGCGTACAGGTGGAGACAGAGTTGTGCAAAGATCACGTTGTGAGCCAGTGGCAGGTTCAACAGCAGGAGAGAAAACAGGTGAGACGTTCACAGGAGGTGTTAAATGCCAGTGCTGCCATGTTGGCTCATGCATGAGCGCTGCCCAGATGAGCGTCATTTAACATTAACATCTTGAGTTTTGTGTTAGAATAATAGTAGCTGCGTCCTTGGAGAAGAAGGACATTTCCTTTCTTTTTTCTTTTTTTTTAGAAATTGACTTTTTAGTTTAACACGGCCAATGTTCTTTCATGTTATCGCATTGAAATGTAACTGTTCTGTAACATTCAGGCTGATGAGAGAACTCAGGAGGAGAAACAGCATTTTGAGAATGAATATGAGAGGACAAGACGGGAGGCTCTGGAGAGAATGAAAGAAGAAGAGGAGAAGAGAAGACAAGAGGAAAAGAAGCGAGCTGAAGACCTCCATAAACAGATGGAGGAGCTCCAGCTACGGGAACAGGAAGTATGGAATTACTGTAAAATAGACTTATACTTGTAATGCACAAACAACAACCATGTGACAAAAAACAAATGCCATAAAGATCAAGTAAACTTAGTTCTGTGTGTTTGTTAATGTGTATATTGTTTTTTTGTTCATTTTTTTTTATTTTGTTTCAAGAAAACAAACCTTTTCAAGGTCTATAGATGCAACAAATGTAAGGCTTGCATTTCATTTCGTTCTTTTTCCAGGCTGAGCGTCTTAAGCAGGAACAGGAAGCTCTAATGTCTCAACGCTGGGAGCTTGAGAAGCTAGAGGATGAGAGGAAGAGGATGGAGGAAAGCAGGAGGAAAACCGAATTTGGGTAAAATATTTAGACAAGTTGAGGGATTTATTTCCTCTGCAACAATGTTAACTAAAACTAACTGTTAAAAATGTATGTTAATTTAAATAAATTTTAAATACAATATAAATATTAGATGAAAAACAAGTAAATGAAAATTAGATGTTGCCTTGGCACCTTGCTGAAATAAAAAGTGAATTACAAAAATGAACTGAAATTTAAAAATTAACTTTTTGTCTTTAAAAAAGAAGAAGAAGAAAGCACATAACAAAATTACTAAAAATGTAACTAAAATTCAAATGAAAACTAAAAATATAAATGTTAATTTGAAATGTTAATACAAATAGAATCGTATATAAAGAATACTAAATTGACACTGTTCTGCAGTAGCCTAAAGCCACTGTTCTCTGCCTGCACAGGCATTTCCTGACTCGTCAGTACCGTGCTCAGCTGAAAAGGAGAGCACAGCAGGTGCAGGAAGAACTGGTAGGTTACCTCAAAAAAGCTTAAGTTTTGCATCAAAGCTGAATATAATTTGTCCTGACTGAGTGACCGCAATACCTGTCCACCAGGAGGCAGACCGCAAGATCCTGGCAGCGCTGCTGGAGGGAGGAGTGGAGGAGCAGAGAATGGAGAAAGCCAGGAGAGAGAGAGCTGTCGCTGACGCCGCCTGGATGAAGAGAGTCATAGAGGAGCAGCTCCAGCTGGAGAGGGAGAGGGAGGCAGAGTTTGATATTTTATATCGGTGAGTATAGTCTGAATGTTTGTTAAGAACTTAAAATGTGTTTGTAACTGGAAGTCAATTTCATACTCTGATTTTGTTTGCCGCCTGCAGGGAGGAAGCTCAGCGTGTTTGGGAGAAGAGAGAGGCAGAGTGGGAGAAAGAGAGGAGAGCCAGAGAGAGGCTCATGCGGGAGGTGAGACAGTGCACAGCATGCCTGAAGCTGAAGGACAACAGATCAGTAGTCACATGCTTGAACCATGGTTTTCTTAAAACCCCTTCAACAGTGCTCTTTACTTACATACTTCATGAGAATAATTTTATAAAGTTTTGCATTTTTTAAAAGGCGTCAAATAATGAGAAATTGTCCTTAATCTTTTGAGAGGTAAGTAGTATAGATATAGTAATTTCGAGAAAAATTGTCCCCAGACTCATGAATACACTAGTATATGACTTTCAAACACTCAGTAAGTGCTAAATATAATTTCATATGCATGAAGATCATAACAGCAAAAAAATTGCCTATTTAATTTGGAAATCAGAGAGAGGGTGGAAAATAGTCATGGAAAATCAATTTTTGTGCAAAAACTTTATTATATACACATTATCTTTCAAAAGTTGGGATGAAGTCTCCTATGTTCATTACGGCTGCATTACTACAAGAGAGGGAGGGGCTTAGACAGCAGGAGGAGGAGCTTAATCTTGAGACAGAGAGAATGATTCGACGAGGCTACAAGGAGAGAGTGAGTGAAGATTAAAGTGTTAACGAAGACATGGATATTAAGTGCTTTATAATATAATAACTGATCTATTTTTCATCGTGGCAGATTCACAGCAGACCCCGGTCAGCATGGACATGACAGTGCTTCACAGGAAGAATCTTTGTGTCACATCCGTTTTTCATTCAGAATCGGGGATATCTATGTCCATGTTGATCTCAGCCACTTTGTGCTTAAATGAGAACCAGGTTCCCCCTCAGAGATGCTTCTATATATATGTATATGTTAATGATTTACATTATGGCTTTGATAAATGATTGTATAGGCAAGTTCTCGATCTTAAATTTCCATTGCACTAGTGCTGAGGTTTGCATGTAGGTCTGGTTTTATATGTTGACTGATTTGTATAGATGAATTTCAATGCTGACACGTTTTTCAATAAAGAAAATGTTATCTATTGTCTACTGCATTTATTTATAATTAAGAATTTAAACTGGACAGCAATGTGTGCAAGCAGTAATATAAATATGAAAAAAGGAACACCCAGTCACCAATACAAGAAAGAGATGTGATGAGTAGATTTCTATTATAATTAACACTTGACTATAGTGAGATTTTTTAAATTATGTTTACATTTGTGTTCTTGACTGACACATCGCTTTGGAGTTTAAAAACATTTTATAGTGTTTAACAGTTATAGTGCTTATCAGTTTTAAGATTAAAAATGCCAGTAGGTATGCTAATTATATCATAGTTAAAGGAATAGTGCACCTAAAAATGAAAATTTGTGCTCACCCTCAGGCCATCTAAAATATATATATAGATAGATGGATAAACATATATAGAGGAGTGCTTACAGATTTGGAGAAACTTTACATGATTTGTTCAGCAATGGCTCCTCTGCAGTGAATGGGTGGCGTCAGAATGAGAGTCCAAACAAAAATAAACAAACAAATAAAAACATCACAATAATCCACAAATATTTTGGTTTGCACTTCTTTAACCAAATCTGAATTTCTTCTACCATGTAACATGTCAGCCATATTGCCTCACCAGCTAAAGCCCTCTAGTGGAGAACTGAACTGGCAAGAGATTGACGGATCAGAGTGGACCTGCTTTAATGTTTTGATAGTGCTTGGAAGGCTCAATGTTTAACATTTTGGGTAAGATAAACACATGCATGACATACTTGCAATAATTAACAATAAACTTGGTAGGAGTGGGCGATATGACCAAAATCGTATATCACGATATAGTAATTTTATTTCACGGTAACAATATATATCACAATATAGTTATTTTTGCTTTAAATAAGGTCTTAATGATTTCAAAAAATTTTATACCATAGAAGTATCATAAGTCTTCTGTTTGATTAACATGAATGACAAACAGCAGGAATATTAGACTGCTGTCACTTTAAGAGCTGCCAGATCCAATATGCTGTTGCATACGTTTTCTTTCTCAGCTGTTTGTTTTCACTTAAGACCTAAATTACTGTATTTGCAAAGATACTTACAAAGATGGGCATTTTGACACAAGTGTGTGTATTTAACCGGTTAAGGCCTATAAAGCAGCAAAAAAAACAACTTTCTTTCGCTGCTGATTGCTTTTCAATGGCTTAAAATCACTTGTTTTTAAACCGCAATGCTTAAAAACGCGTGCAAACAAAAGTTTTCGTGACCACGTAGCACAGCAACGTCACGCGAGCGAATAACCGTGATGGAGACTATAGGCCAAAATCTCTACCGGTTGACAAACTTCTACCGGAATATCACCCACCTCTAGTTAAGAGAATGCATTTTGGCATACAAAATGTTTTAAAAACATGAACATAAAAAAACAAGCAGACGTAGAAATAATTTGGGATGAGGTTTAGGTCTTTTATTTTTCACTTTATTCATATGGCTCAGTTTCTGATATTAACAAAAACACTGGAGCAACAATTGAAGCTCAAAATTATAAATTAAGTTTATTTAAAAAATAAACACATTTTCATCTTAACCACAGGCATAGCAATAATATTAATGAGTGGAAGGCCAGTTCATCTAAACAACTACAAACACTCAAACAAGGGGAATTTTAACACGGAGCTACCAGTCCACTGCACAAACTGTTTGCTAAGACTAACCTGATCAGGCTAGACTAAAATACTTAGAGAGGAAATAAAAAGTTCTGCGACGTTAAGAGCTGCCCAAAATACTGAACTGAATGTACAATATGAGGAACTATCTAAAAAAAAAAACACATCTAAACCATCACAAACACAGTATCAGTATCTGCTGGTGGAGATTGTTCATCTGCAGTGTATAAAAAAAAAGAAAATGTAATTAAATACTGTACTTTGATCTCCAAATTACTGATAAAATATGAGGTTAAGGTTAATTAACATTTCCTCACTTTAATTATTTTTTTAATGCACACTAGACGTCGACCGATTTTCAGGGCCGATGCCGATATCCATTATTACTGATCAAGTAGACAGATAACCAATATGTCTGGTGTAAAAATTTAAATTAATGTCAAAATTAAGAATAATAAGGGCTCTGACAAAAACTCTCTTTAAATGCTTTTAAATAATTTTATCGGCAAATCAGTTTTGAAAATGACCCGATACCGATAACCATAAAATTGCTTAATATCAACGGAGATAATTGGTCGACCCCTAACGCACACTGTAAATTGGAATTATAGCCACCTGATTTATCTAACCGAGAAAAAGGCATTTACCTTGGGCATGAAATGAAATATAATCTTTTTGAGTTCATACTTAATTTGACATCTTTATAATTACAAGTTTATTGTATCTGTACCTAGACTAGGTCTACCTGACCTCATTAACTGAATGTTTTGTACAATAGAATTTATTTATTATACATTATATATTTAACTGAGATTACTGAAAAAAGCTCGATTTTAACATAATTCAAAAACAACACAGACAACAACAAAAAAAGAGAAGAGGTAAAAGCAGTCAAAGTTTTCAGAATAGTGCAAAGAGTCAGGCATTTACTGAATATTTAGTACGTGATTGGCTGCTCTATTGCGGATTCATTTCTGCTCAAATCCTTCTCAATCCACAGCATCTCAACTGCCATCTAGTCAAATACACTTTCACAGGTCCACACATATACACATCCTTACACAACCCTTGAGAGCATTTCAGGCTTTATCTTATGGCTTCAAACCAAACAACACTGACAACAGACACATTCAATTAAAAATAAAAACATGCAAATACACCTTAGATAAAAAAAATAAAATAAAACTCATGTGACATACCTAATAATTACTGATAAAATAATACCAGGGTTGCATTGCAGGTGGAAATGGGTGGAGGCAGGATCAGTTGTTGTTCTCTTTGGTGGTTATGGTAACAAGTTGCTTCGCAGCCTTGGCTATGTCATAAGCGCACTGGATGACCTGCTGGGTGACCAACTGCACATCGGCTGCAGGGCTGCTCTCCAGAGGAGGTGCTTTCTTACACTCACTCTGCAGCCGGTTTGCGCTGGACGTTAACGATCGCAAAGAGCTCCTCACCGTCTCAGAGCGTGGTCTCTGGGAAAGGAGAAAATACAGAAACAAATATATACAAAATACTTGAAAGACTATTTTATAGTTCAGCATAATTATCCTTGGGTAACTACTACACGAAGGTATTTGGACACATAAATGTATAAAAAAAATTGAGTGATAAAATATATATAAAATTATAATTTTTTTTAAAAATCAGCTTATTTAAATAAAAATATATATATAAATAATTTACAAATAATATTTTATCAAAAGTATGATTGTTATAGTGGTTCATAACTTGGCTTACTAGTCCATATGGCTCCATGAAAGTATTTGGACATTAATTCTGTCATTAATTACTCACCCTCATGTCGTTCCAAACCCGTAAGACCTTCGTTCATCTTTGGAACATAAATTAAGATATTTTTTGATGAAATCCGAGAGCTTACTGACCCTCCATAGACAGCAAGGTAACTACCACATTCAAGGCCCAGAAAGGTAGTAAGGACATCACTAAAATAGCCTTTAAAATTCACGAGAGTATCACGGCGTACGTGTGTGCATTCCTCTCTTGGCAAACAATCCGTAGCGCATCCGGGTTCTACGTCAGAACGCCGGATCCTGCGTCAGCAGCACCACACGCATGCATCGTGGGACTCGTGAATGTGAGTCGAAGTCTAACACAGAAGAGAAGAAATTGACGATTATTTAAAAGTCGTTTATTTTTGTTTTCTTGGTGCACAAAAAGTATTCTCGTAGCTTCATAACATTACGGTTGAACCCCTGGTGTCACATGGACTATTTTAAAGATATCCTTACTACCTTTTTGGGTCTTGAACGTGGTAGTTGTGTTGCTGTCTATGCAGGGTCAGAAAGCTCTCGGATTTCATCAAAAATATCTTAACTTGTGTTCCGAAGATGAACGAAGGTCTTACGGGTTTGGAACGACATGAGGGTGAGTAATTAATGATGGAATTGGGTGAACTATTCCTTTAAGCTAGACTTAAACGTACAAAAATATTTTAGTGAAACAAAATTAAAATAAATATTATTTAAATTAAATAATTAAGTAATTATTATTATTCAGATTTTTTAATTGCATTTATGAAGTGTGGAGAGAAAGTGCACACCTTGGGGAACAGGGCAGCCATTTCATTCACAGCCACATGTATTCTTTCTGCGCAGGGTATAAAGCTATTGAAGGAGAACATGATAGATACTGTATTAAAAAGACATCAGAGTTTGAAGAGTGAAGATAAACAGAGCAATCAGAAGGTAAAGCTTTAAAGGCCTGTTCACACCAATTTTTTTTTTTCACTCAATTTTTGAGCCGATTAATGATAAAACCACTGACGGCCAATCAGAAATGCTTTAAGAAGCTTGAGCAGATAAAAAAAAACTACAGCACACACTAATATAGATATCGCTATAGTTATTGTTCTTGGTGTGAATGGACCTTAAAGCTGGACATTTACACTATCATGGAAAAAAATACAATTTGTCCATAATATTGTACTGTATACAGATAAAAAAAAATACCTTTTGTCGAATAGTAGTGATTTTTATTCCACTCAGACATATCACAGTTCACCGAAAAATTACAGATAGATTAAGAAAATGTGTGGAATATAACATTTATTTACAAGTGTTGCAGTAAATGCGGTAAGTGTTATAATTTCTGTGCAAAAATCCACACACACACAAAAAAAAACCATGCAGATCTGTTTGAAACGTTAGTTGTGCAGCAGACATGATGCATCCGCAGTGCTAATACATTTTTAAGAGGGTAAAACATCTTGTAAAATAATTTCAGCAAATTGAGAAATACCTTTAAAATAACTATTTTGCAATGAAATACAAACCAGCGCAAAACAGAAAGGCCAAAAGTTAGATGGATGTCAGTACAAAGCCTTTTCCTAAAAGAGAAACCAAGTGCACCAACGTGAGTTCCTGCAAATAAAGGTGAGGCTTAGAAGACTATGCAAACTGACACGAGACTTCAATCATGCCTATTCCATTCATGTTCAGATTAGTGGGTTATGAGGTTATGAAGAAAAAAAAAAATACCTTTTGTCGAATAGTAGTGATTTTTATTCCACTCAGACATATCACAGTTCACCGAAAAATTACAGATAGATTAAGAAAATGTGTGGAATATAACATTTATTTACAAGTGTTGCAGTAAATGCGGTAAGTGTTATAATTTCTGTGCAAAAATCCACACACACACAAAAAAAAAACATGCAGATCTGTTTGAAACGTTAGTTGTGCAGCAGACATGATGCATCCTCAGTGCTAATACATTTTTAAGAGGGTAAAACATCTTGTAAAATAATTTCAGCAAATTGAGAAATACCTTTAAAATAACTATTTTGCAATGAAATACAAACCAGCGCAAAACAGAAAGGCCAAAAGTTAGATGGATGTCAGTACAAAGCCTTTTCCTAAAAGAGAAACCAAGTGCACCAACGTGAGTTCCTGCAAATAAAGGTGAGGCTTAGAAGACTATGCAAACTGACACGAGACTTCAATCATGCCTATTCCATTCATGTTCAGATTAGTGGGTTATGAGGTTATGAAGAGAGAGGTAGAGATAGACACTGTGCCTGTGAGGCAGGGACAGAGGCCGGAGTACCAGGAGGCAGGGTTGTTGGGGTTGGCTGGGTGGGGAGCTCTTAGGCCGAGGGACTGCATGGGAGACGGGGGCTTGTCTGCCGTTTTGTACAATAGAATTTATTTATTATACATTATATATTTAACTGAGATTACTGAAAAAAGCTCGATTTTAACAATTCAAAAACAACACAGACAACAACAAAAAAAGAGAAGAGGTAAAAGCAGTCAAAGTTTTCAGAATAGTGCAAAGAGTCAGGCATTTACTGAATATTTAGTACGTGATTGGCTGCTCTATTGCGGATTCATTTCTGCTCAAATCCTTCTCAATCCACAGCATCTCAACTGCCATCTAGTCAAATACACTTTCACAGGTCCACACATATACACATCCTTACACAACCCTTGAGAGCATTTCAGGCTTTATCTTATGGCTTCAAACCAAACAACACTGACAACAGACACATTCAATTAAAAATAAAAACATGCAAATACACCTTAGATAAAAAAAATAAAATAAAACTCATGTGACATACCTAATAATTACTGATAAAATAATACCAGGGTTGCATTGCAGGTGGAAATGGGTGGAGGCAGGATCAGTTGTTGTTCTCTTTGGTGGTTATGGTAACAAGTTGCTTCGCAGCCTTGGCTATGTCATAAGCGCACTGGATGACCTGCTGGGTGACCAACTGCACATCGGCTGCAGGGCTGCTCTCCAGAGGAGGTGCTTTCTTACACTCACTCTGCAGCCGGTTTGCGCTGGACGTTAACGATCGCAAAGAGCTCCTCACCGTCTCAGAGCGTGGTCTCTGGGAAAGGAGAAAATACAGAAACAAATATATACAAAATACTTGAAAGACTATTTTATAGTTCAGCATAATTATCCTTGGGTAACTACTACACGAAGGTATTTGGACACATAAATGTATAAAAAAAATTGAGTGATAAAATATATATAAAATTATAATTTTTTTTAAAAATCAGCTTATTTAAATAAAAATATATATATAAATAATTTACAAATAATATTTTATCAAAAGTATGATTGTTATAGTGGTTCATAACTTGGCTTACTAGTCCATATGGCTCCATGAAAGTATTTGGACATTAATTCTGTCATTAATTACTCACCCTCATGTCGTTCCAAACCCGTAAGACCTTCGTTCATCTTTGGAACATAAATTAAGATATTTTTTGATGAAATCCGAGAGCTTACTGACCCTCCATAGACAGCAAGGTAACTACCACATTCAAGGCCCAGAAAGGTAGTAAGGACATCACTAAAATAGCCTTTAAAATTCACGAGAGTATCACGGCGTACGTGTGTGCATTCCTCTCTTGGCAAACAATCCGTAGCGCATCCGGGTTCTACGTCAGAACGCCGGATCCTGCGTCAGCAGCACCACACGCATGCATCGTGGGACTCGTGAATGTGAGTCGAAGTCTAACACAGAAGAGAAGAAATTGACGATTATTTAAAAGTCGTTTATTTTTGTTTTCTTGGTGCACAAAAAGTATTCTCGTAGCTTCATAACATTACGGTTGAACCCCTGGTGTCACATGGACTATTTTAAAGATATCCTTACTACCTTTTTGGGTCTTGAACGTGGTAGTTGTGTTGCTGTCTATGCAGGGTCAGAAAGCTCTCGGATTTCATCAAAAATATCTTAACTTGTGTTCCGAAGATGAACGAAGGTCTTACGGGTTTGGAACGACATGAGGGTGAGTAATTAATGATGGAATTGGGTGAACTATTCCTTTAAGCTAGACTTAAACGTACAAAAATATTTTAGTGAAACAAAATTAAAATAAATATTATTTAAATTAAATAATTAAGTAATTATTATTATTCAGATTTTTTAATTGCATTTATGAAGTGTGGAGAGAAAGTGCACACCTTGGGGAACAGGGCAGCCATTTCATTCACAGCCACATGTATTCTTTCTGCGCAGGGTATAAAGCTATTGAAGGAGAACATGATAGATACTGTATTAAAAAGACATCAGAGTTTGAAGAGTGAAGATAAACAGAGCAATCAGAAGGTAAAGCTTTAAAGGCCTGTTCACACCAATTTTTTTTTTTCACTAAATTTTTGAGCCGATTAATGATAAAACCACTGACGGCCAATCAGAAATGCTTTAAGAAGCTTGAGCAGATAAAAAAAAACTACAGCACACACTAATATAGATTCTAATATAGTTATCGCTATAGTTATTGTTCTTGGTGTGAATGGACCTTAAAGCTGGACATTTACACTATCATGGAAAAAAATACAATTTGTCCATAATATTGTACTGTATACAGATAAAAAAAAAATACCTTTTGTCGAATAGTAGTGATTTTTATTCCACTCAGACATATCACAGTTCACCGAAAAATTACAGATAGATTAAGAAAATGTGTGGAATATAACATTTATTTACAAGTGTTGCAGTAAATGCGGTAAGTGTTATAATTTCTGTGCAAAAATCCACACACACACAAAAAAAAAACATGCAGATCTGTTTGAAACGTTAGTTGTGCAGCAGACATGATGCATCCTCAGTGCTAATACATTTTTAAGAGGGTAAAACATCTTGTAAAATAATTTCAGCAAATTGAGAAATACCTTTAAAATAACTATTTTGCAATGAAATACAAACCAGCGCAAAACAGAAAGGCCAAAAGTTAGATGGATGTCAGTACAAAGCCTTTTCCTAAAAGAGAAACCAAGTGCACCAACGTGAGTTCCTGCAAATAAAGGTGAGGCTTAGAAGACTATGCAAACTGACACGAGACTTCAATCATGCCTATTCCATTCATGTTCAGATTAGTGGGTTATGAGGTTATGAAGAGAGAGGTAGAGATAGACACTGTGCCTGTGAGGCAGGGACAGAGGCCGGAGTACCAGGAGGCAGGGTTGTTGGGGTTGGCTGGGTGGGGAGCTCTTAGGCCGAGGGACTGCATGGGAGACGGGGGCTTGTCTGCCCAAGGCACCAGTGTGCTGAAACAACCCAGACTGTGTCTAAGTCTGCGGACACTCTCCCTCTGCTCACATGGTGCACTGGTGGGGAAACAGACAGATCGGGACCCAAACAGAGCATGGCCCCCGACAGGACAGACCCCAAATGATGAACACGGACAATTGAGAACAGACAGAAAATGGAGAAGCTATGAATGGAGGAACTGATTCAACGGTTGCGAAATAAGTGATTTGCATAAACAGGCACTTTCCATGAATAGGGTACAAAAAGCCTCACTTGTATCCGCAGATATATATACCATTCAAACGTTTGGGGTCAGTAAGACTTTTTAAAAATAATTTAAAACTTTATTTAGCAAGGACAATGAATTTATAGTGAACGCATGTTGAATGTTAAATTTACATTTAGTCATTTAGCAGACGCTTTTATCCAAAGCGACTTACAAATGAGGACGAAAGAAGCAATCAAACCAACAAAAGAGCAACAATACATAAGTCCCAGTTAACACAGCAAGTAAAAAAAAAAAAGAAAAAAAGAAAACATGTAGATATAATAGAAAACGAATAGAGAACGCTAGTGTTAGAGGGTCAATTTTTTTAATTAATAAAAAGAAAAGTCAAAAGAATAGAGAGTGCTAGTATAAGAGGGTCTTTTTTTTTAATAAATAAAAATAAATCAAATAGATAGAATATAAAAAAGAATAGAGAATGGTAGTGTTAGATTGTCATTTTTAATAAATTGAAAACAAGAATAAAAACAAAATATTTACACACACATATATATATATATATATATATATATATATATACATACATGTATGTATTGGTATTATGTTAGATTTAATTTGAAATATAAAAAAATTCTCACACCTAAAAACATTGATTTCTAAAAACATTGATTGGTCTCTAATGATTTAAAGGCATAGTCCACCAAAAAAAATGTTAATTCTCTCATCACCTTCATGTCATTCCAAACCCTGTATGACTATTTCTTTTACAGAACATAAAAAATGTTGGTGACCAAACAGTTTCGCTTCATTGTAACTTTTGTCCCATTGACTTACAACTGTTTGGTGGACTATCCCTTCATTTGTAACCTACTCATGAAATGTGCCAACAATTAACATGTGAAATTGTTAAATACATTTTAAAAAAGTTCACAAAAGGAAGAAGGGAATTCAATGACATCAGATTTTTTTGCTGCCATATATGATGATGGAAGAAATAGGAGATGGGTGATGCTGACATTGACGTCCTCTCACCTCTCATGCTTGTTCTCCTGCGCAGCCCTCAGCAGTTCCTGGATGTTCTTGGTGATCTGCTCAGTTTTACGGATGACGTCGTCAGTGCTGGGCAGACTGGGGTCAGGCTCACTCTCGTGATCATCCAGCTCAGGTATAGAGCCGCTCTCTCCCATCCAGCCGCTGCTGCGCAGACGACATCTTCGGCCAAAGCTGCCAGGAGGGAGGACGTAATAATGAGCATCATTAGTGCGTTTCCTCACTTTACTTGGCTAAAAGTAGATGACTGGCAGCTCTTATCTTCAGAGGGGAAAAAAGGCTGGTTTTGTTTGCCAGCAGGATTTGAGACACGAGTTATTTCAGGTCATAAAAAGGAAACTGGACACATACCCAGAGTCATCCAGATCAGATTCGTTAACCGTGTTGTCATAGTCACCATCAGACACACTGCTCTGCTTGTCAAATTTGGAGGCCTGAAGAGACAGGAAAGGATACAGTAAAAGAACAGGTGGCACGCAATGAAATCGGCGATGATCAATATGTCTGGTAGTTCATATGAAATTAAACTAATTACATTCAAAAGTCTGCATTATTGGAATGGTCAGTCAAGTATAACAAGCTCTTAGCATTAGATATTTCAGGCAATATACTTTGAAAAGCACAAGGTGTGAAAACCTGAGATGAGCAAACAAATAAGTTTGTCAAGTCTTAAATTTGTGCTCAAGTTTTGTACATGCACTTCTAGCCTATCTCTAACATATTTAACAGAGCGCTAAAGATGCCAATAACAATTTGAGCCTCATTCTTTACACTTTATTATTTTTCTCCATTTGCCTCTGTTTGAAAAGATCAATATGGCTGGACACTGTTATACATT